TCACTGAGATGGGCTTTTCACATGACACGTTTTGTTTCCTCCTTTTCCGAATAGGTGTCCTTTCTCCTAGAATACCTGTCTTCTTTGTCGCGGCTTCTGCAGTCATGTTTACTGGTAGATCCTGACCTCCTGGTTCAGGACGAGCTTCTGAAATCTCTGATCACAAACGTCATCAGAGTGCTCACCATATACATCAAAGATGTGCTAGGTAAGTTTTCTCTAGTTTAGGGTGAAAGTAAATTATACTGAGGAATAACATCTTACTTTGCACCAGGTGTCCAGATCAAAGTCACATCTTGGATTGTTCTTTGCCAGTATTTTATAATGTGTTTTATAGTTTGGATATTTTCATTGGTTCCAGGAGGCCATTTGAGGCAAATATGTAGTATAATAAAGGACCATTCCCCTGTGCTGTCATTTTAAACGAGGGTAAAGTTCTTTAATGTTAGAAAGTACAGTGAGTGTTAGATATTAATTATTCTAATGAGCTGTGACCAAGGCCAAATGACCCACTAATAACTCGCAGTAACAAGTATAAGCGAGCCTAGTACATGATATCAGAGGTTCCCTAAGGTCCAAAATTCTTAAAAAATGTACTCTGATGAAAAGTTGAATATAAAGCTTAATAGTAGAGAAAATTAAAACAATGTAGGATGTTTATCAAAATTAAAATGATAATTGTCTAAACTACTTTATAATGAAGTAATTGACCATCTGCTAATTCTCTTTGCCTGTCAGTTCATTCTTGTTTAGTCCCTTGAATTTATGGATTTGCAGGTTTTAGGTCTGGTGAGTGAAATGGTTGATTCCCTGCGAAGCCAGGGAATTGGTATCTCATCAGTGATACTCAGTTATCCCAGTGCTGGAGCAGCAGTGATTCCTCACATAAAAGCTTCACAAGTGGCAGTGATGTCCTGGTGAAGCTAATTAGGTTACACCATGCGTTCTCTGCAACGGTTGTATCTCCCCACAAGGAGCAGAAAATGATTCTTGAGGGAAAGAAGTGAGGGGGAAAAACTTAGCTCTTAGAGTGGTTTGTGGGCCTCCAAAGCGCAGCTTTACCCAAGAAAATCTTATTCATTAGTGCGTAATTTCTCTTGCTGGGTTTTCTTGGGTATCACTTGGGAAGCATTGACATTGAGCTCCTGGAGCGTACACAAGGAATATGCAGGGTCAGTGTTAAAAAACTGGTGCAAACATGGCTGCGACTAGAAGGCTTTTGACTGATGCTCGATCCCAAAGGCGCATGGCGAGAGGTGCCTGCATCGTAGCTGTCGCTGGCTGCCTTGTGGACGTGTCATTGATTTTCTTGCTTTGATTTGGGGCTCTACGGATTAAATAACAATGCTGTATGTTTTAATATTTTATTATGTAAAAGTTACTTAATCCATCATTAATTATGTCAAGTGCTAAAAAGGCAAAATGTCAACAATATCTGAATGTATATCTAGCAGGTAGTTAAGCTAAAAGTTACTTTCTCATCTCTTTCAAAAGTGAAACATTCACTAATATTTTTTTTAAGAAATTAATTTTTTTTCTGGAAAAATAGTTTTGAATGATCTTACAAAATATTGATTATGTTTCTGGGGTATATTTATATGATTTGCTAATTTTCATATATAATTGTATACATTTTAATTTACATGTGTATATAAATTATGTTAAAATAATCAGGAAACTGTTACAAAAGCAAATAGCTTTCAATTTTTAGTTTAACTATCAAATATTTTACTTGGCCATCTTAAGCCTGTGCTAAATAAAACTGGTAAGCTTTATACTTACTCTTTTCATGGGTAAAGTACAGATATATGGATATTGCATGAACAGATGTATGGTGTCTGTGGGATTAATATTTCACGGGGGCTGTGATCAGGTAACATGTCTACAAAGACTCCTGTAACTGACAATGAGCTGATAACGACAGAAAGGTTGAGAAGCACCCATGATTGCTACAATTCAGACTCCCTGGAAGATGCCCCTTTCCAGCCTCACCCTGCCTCATGGGTGCGGAAGAACACTGAGAGGGAAGTCCTGGGTTGCTTGGTGACAGAGTTTGACAGAGCGACGGATAACTGCTGGTGATGTGGTCATAGACGACAGTCCTAAGATAGCCACTGCCCTCCAGCCCCTGTTTGCCCCGTAGAGAGAAGGGAAAGCTGTTCTTAACCTGGAAGGTTAATTGCTGCAGCCCCAGACACAGGGGCCAAGTGCAGAATCCTCTTAGGGACCAGAGTTTTCCTTGTGGGGCCGTCCTCTTCTTGGTTCCTCAGAGAAGTTTCCTTTCTTTTCTGCCACGACCTTGGCGTGTTATGTTTTCCCCTTTCACGCCTGCACAAAGCTGCTCGAGGGTGTAAGGAAAACAGGAGAAGCTTCACTTGTATAGAAGTAACTCGAACAATGACGTGTGTTTCCAGTGTGCCCAGTGTGTGGGTCTGAAGCTGTCGCATAATATTCAGTTTGCCACATCTTCTGCATATTGTTGAATATACTTTAATAAGAGGAGGTTGTGTGAGTGCGTATTCATTTATCTATAGCAGGGTGGGTGGAAGAGAGAAATCGTTAAGAAGCAGCGAAAAAGAAAAATTAATTGGAATTTGCATCGTGCTGAATTACATCTGTCTTCATTTGATAAGTACATACCTCTTATTTTAAGTGTAATGAAGTGTCTGGTGAGGTTTATGTCTTAAAAGGCTTTTTCCTCTTTGGGTTAATAACAAAATGTTTTGATTAATTTTACAGATGCAGAGTTAATATCGGCCTTTTATCAGACATGGACACATTTATTTAACCTTCTGGCCACACTCCTGAGGAAAGCTGGTCCTGCCTCTTTACCATCTATTACAATGGGCCTGGCCAGGCACTGGGCAGCGGTGATCGGTAAGAAGATCATCTCACTGGGCTTAGGGTCATCCTGCTAATAAAAATTAAGATAATTATTATTTATGATTTTTATATAATTTATATGTATTCTCTAAAACTAAGTAATTATGGCATGGTCTTTGAAAGAGGAGCAGGGTACTTGCTTTGAGAAATTTGCAGTGCTCTTGAGGAGCCCAAAAAAATACATTTTAAGAAAATTGAAACCCATTTCAAAGCACCATAAAAACAAGTAAGGAAAGCCAATAGTGTTATGGAGATGCAGATCGTGGCTATGAGACAGTGAGACAGATTTTCTTCTGTTGGTGTAGAAGCCAGTCTCTTTCCTTATACATGTGCCCTCTAAGTGTGTAAACCTGCATATGTCATATCCTGTTTTCATTATAACTTGGAAAGTTATAATAAAAATAGTGTCTTGTTTTGAGACATGAGGATTTTCTCATAACCAAGGGTACAGTGTAGTTAATTACTTTTATAAGATGTTTTCCATATACTAGTTGCCTACTAGAATGAACAAATGATTTTTTAAAATAACTACTGTCTTAAATTTTTCATAGTCTCTTCTAAATATTAGCATAGCAAGAAGCCTTTTTTGCATAAATGTTTATAAATAACATTTATGTTACCTTTTAAACCAGTTAAAATGTATTCAAAATTGAATTCTTCTAAGTTTCCAAATTATCATTAATTCAATCGACTTGTTTTTTCACATTTTATTTTATCATTTGTTCATTCTGTAAACTTACGTGTATGATAAATTCTGTAACCAGAATGATAGTTTTGAAGTAAGATTATGGGGAAATACATGTTCAGCCAGAAAAGGAATTGTTAGTAATCTGAATATAGGAGTTCTGGGTTAACCCTAAGGGGAATAATGTCCATTTAGAGATTATTATTTTGTTAAAAGAGAAAAAAATTGATAGAGATTGACCGATGTGATTGGTGTTTTCCTCTGGCATCCAGGGTGAGGGTGCGGGGGGAGTTAGTTTATCCCCTGAACAACCAATAATATAAAGCAACATGCTTTATGGGGCATATGGGACACCTAGGCCAACGAGTTAAATCTGGCCACTCCTTATTTTGGTAAATAAAATTTTATTGGAACACAGCCACACTCACTCATTTACTTATTGCCTGTGACTGCTTTCCTGCTGCAGTGGCAGAGTTGAATAGTCGTGACAAAGGCATGTGACCTGCAAAGCATGAAGTATTTATTTATTCTCTGGCCCTTTCCAGAAAAAGTGTGTTGACCCCTGATTTCAGCCTGTTTACCTGACACTGTTTCCCTAGTCATAACATAAAAGAGATATTAAATTCAAAATCTGTCTTCAGAATACACACACAGATTTGTATAGTAATGGTGCTAATAAAAAATAACCTACAGCATAAACGGTTAGCTTTGATAATGTTCATGAAAACACAACTAATAAAAATGATTAATACTCCTTGCTATGGGGTTGTTTGTTTTTGTTTGCTCTTTTGTTTCTCTTATTTTCTATCCCATGTACCCATACGCATTTAAAACATATTAAGTCACTTTGTAACATAAGTTATCTATAACCATTTTTTCCACAAATTTGACTAATATTTAAATATCATTTAAATAAATTGAATTCCCATGAAACCTGTTGACTACATTATTTTTCTTATGTTACCTAAGAATATAAGAATTTCTACAAGCCTAAATCTAGGTAGAAATCCGTGTGGTTTTAACTCTTATGCAAATATAAATCCAAAATAATATAAAAATGAAATCTTGATAACCCAGAGTACAGTTACATTAACTTTTTTTTTAAGATTAGCACTGAAATAAAAATCTAAACGTTAAAAACTCTAGAGACTTTCTGGGTCCCGTTAGACCCCAGAGGGGTCAATACTCATTTATATATAACCCACTTATTTGGGGTCTTGGCAGAGAGTGTGTGGATGTGCATTTGTACCCACACACTCGTGTAAGACAGGACCCAGATGAAAAGAACAAAATGAGAACTAAATAGATTCTTCCATCAGTAGGTTGTCTTAGTGTTGTCTAACTTCCTTTTAAACACTAGGGCTATTCTTGTGCTAAGTGAGCTATTGATGGCTTTACTTCATCAGAAATTAAAAAGCTATAAACTTAATTACTCAAATAAATCTGATACACTTTAATTTTGAGGAAATTTTCCGTGTTTATATGTGGAATTATTCTCTTTTAGATACGTTCTGCACATGTGTGGGTTTGTCTACCACGTGCCCTCCCCTGTATACGGCCAGCCTGCAGTTCCTGTCCATCCTCTTGACTGAAGAAGCAAAAAGGCATCTCCAGGATAAGGATAAAACTAGTTTACGCCACAGTCCAACGCTGGCTTCACTTCTGGATGAAACGCAGGAGAACCAGGCATCTGTAGAACGACTTAATGAAGTAATTCTTCAGGTATGTGATTTCTTGATTTTTTTCAAAATTTGGTTTAGTTTTTAAAAGAAATGACTTTCAGTCTTGGTCTTGTAAGTTTTTTTTTAGTCATTTGAGTTAAAAATTAATGTTCATTATCATCATTTAAATAATAGAAAAGTATATAAAGTTAAATTAACCATCTCCTTTCCAGTTTCATTTCTCTGATGACGACTGGTTTTTTTTAATGACTATGATTTAAAAATTCAAAATGAAATATTAGTAATCTAAATCCAGCAGTTTAGCAAAATAGTGTGCTGTATTACGACCAGAATGGGCACATTTCAGGAAAGTACATTTAATTAATGATTTGTTGCTACTTTCAAGACACGATTACATCTTTGAAATATTTTTACCTAGATGGCATTTGATTTGCATAAATGAGCTATATATTTAAGGTGGCTACTTGGTTGACACATTTGTAAGAAAATGCCCCCTTTCCAAACCCTGCTGTCTATTTTATCCTATAAACTTATTATTTTCAGCTCTAGAATTGAACCAAGAATTTTGTTTAATCAAAAACATTCTAAAATCACTGAAATATTGTTATTTTATAAATAGATTAACGAAAAGAACTGGAAGCATTTCCTAAGTGGCACAGTGTTCTTACAAATAGGAATATTACTAGATTTCTCCGTGTTAATTCCCTGTTTAATAATCGCATGGCTTTGTAGCTTTCATCCTCTCGCTGGAAGGGGGGTGAGGGGTGGATGTGCACACTGAAGATCCACTCTGCTATCCGGCAGCTGGCTGCATTTCCCAGATAGAACATTGCTGTTCTGCCTGCCGACCTGCCGCCACCCCCTGCTGCCTGGGGTTCGGGGATTTTTGCCCCTTTTCTGCCTGTTGTACGCAGCTTTCTGATGAGACCACTTGTGTGTGTTGCACGACAGCCTTGATTTCGCTGGGCTGCAGAGGGGGCAGAGGCAGGAGGCTCCCTGGTCCACCCGCAACCGCCTGTGTGGGGAGGGGCCCCGGGCTCCACAGGGCACTTCTGTCTCCCTCGCCCAACACATTGTGTTGTCTGCAAAGCACAGAAAAGGAGGCACTCTCCCCTCTGTCTCAGCAGCTCTTCAGAAGCTGGCTCTCTCGGAGACGAGGTCCTGAAAGCCCTCCTCAGGGTCACTCATTCTTGGGAGGCCGCTGCTTCTCTGTCGCTACTGCCTCCCCGTTTCCCCTCGGCTCTTCGCTGTTTGGACCCAAATCTGGACAGTGTTTCAGTTCTCTCATTCACCACCAGAACAGCCAGCTTTATTCCCCCAGTGATTAACTGAGTCTGATTTTGCATTTTAAAAAATAACAATTTAAAAAATATTTAAAAAGTATTTAAAAAATAACAGCTCTCCGTGTCTGGATTCAACCAGAGGTCGAGTGAAAATACTAAAAAAAATTTTTTCAGAAAGTTCCAAAAAGAAAAACTTGAATTTGCCTCATGCACAGCAACTATTTCTGTAATATTTGCATTCTGTTAAGTGTCGTAAGTAATCTAGAGATGATTTAAAGTATATGGGAGGATGTGTTTAGATTATATGCAAATACTTCCCCGTTTTATATGAGAGACTTGACCATCAGAGATTTTGGAGTACACAGGGATCCTGGAACCAGTCCTCTGTGGACGCTGAAGGACATCTGGACTGTAAGCAGGAAAACTGAGATTTACAGGAGTTCTTCCCCTTCCTCGATCAAAAAGTGTGACTGATTTCCCAGCTTCGGCTTGGGTGGAATGCTGTCCTCCTGGGGAAGGGCCTTCGCTCTTATTAACACGCTTTCCTCGTCAGGGAATTTGAATGACCAGGGGAGCCCCACATTGTCTTCTTCCCTCAGTGAGGGGAAAAAAGCCAGAATCCCCGTGGCTCTGGGAGCTTTGACCGCAGCTGTGGCCGTGGTTTCTGCAGCCAGGCCTCCTGGGCCTGGTGAAACGGCAAGCCGTCCAGCCGGGCCGAGCCACGGCTGCTTTTCCCTCAGCTCTTTTCTCCTGCTCATTAGCGGGACTGTATTTCAAGGAACCAAAATTAGACTTGTGATGAATGTGGGTCCACAGAGGGTTGACGGACCAGATTAAAACAGTGTTTGCAGGAAGAGCTCTGCCACGGGAACTTGCCCTTATTTGTCTCTGATGTTTTGTCTCTAGTGTTCTGCATTTTCCTGATGAAGATCCTAGGTGTGGGTCTCTTTGTTCCTGTCACGCTGGGCTTTCTGTGGGGTTCTTTTCATCTGTAAACTCCTGGTTTTTATGAATGAACGGTGGATGCATTCACAGACCTGAGGATACTGGATTCTAAGCAGTGAGTGAGGAAAACTGAGTGCACTTCAGTGCATATCCTGAGCTGCCACCTGCTGAGGACGTTTGGCACTGCCTGTGCCGGGAAGTGAGTGAAGGAGGATTGTGTGAGACATCTCTGAGATCCAGTTTCAGGACGAGATCCTCCCACCACCCACTGAGCTCTGAGCAGCCCAGCCACTCTTCCTCCCTGACCCCTGCAGGAAACTGGCAGCGCAGTCTTTGGAGACGACGGATTGGAAGGACTCTAAGCTGGCGGAGATCGGGCGCTTTTGTGGCTGGGAGTGTTCTGTTGGAAACAGACAGGATTGAGTGAAGTTGTTCCGATTCAATGCTGAGAGCCCAGCTCTCTCCTGTGAAACGCCTGGCGGTGGGCTTTCGCCTCCGGGGTGGGAGTCAGAAGAGTCTTCACCAGGGGCGCTCACAAGCCCGAGAAGACGGGCGCAGAGTGGCCCAGCCCCACCCCCCAGCACGGCCCCAGCTCCACTCGGAGGCTCAGAGCATCTCCCGGTTTTAAACAGAACAGAAAGCCGAGATTACCCGACACCTGACAAAAGCCCCTGTCCAGGAAATAGAAGACAAAATAACGAAAAAAGAAGCAAAGAGACCTTATGTAGAAAGAAGAAAGCCTAATAAAGGTTCCAATCATGTCAAATGTGTAAAGGAAATAGACCAAAATACTAGTATTTTCAAAATTACAATTGATTTTTCATTTATGTAAGAATCAAATTAAATATATATATATATTTTTTTGAAAAACATGTCAGATGATGGGTAAATGTTACTATAGAAATGGATGCGAAGCACCAAGTCACCGGAGGTACAGGGGTACGTTGGGTAGAAATTGAGGGGGGGTATGTCTCAAGAAGAGGGAAGGAATTCTCCAGTTCAGCAGGGTCCAAGGGCCCTTTTAAATAAGTTACATAGGCGTACATATATTGGCTAGTGAATTTGATTAAGTGCATGAACTTGCTATGGTTTAATACTAAATGTAGCTTTATTCTTTAGATGGTGAGTCTTTGAAAAGATTGTTGGTCTTTTCTGTGTTATAAACCTCTTATTCAGTCCTGTGCACACCGAGCATTCTCAGATCTTAATGATTTATCAGATTCTGGTGAATTTCATGGAACAGTTGAAAACTAACAATAGCTTTTAAACAGAATACATCTTTTATTCACAACCATTTTGCTCTAGCTTAAATTTTGTTGAAGGCAGTTTGCTGTATATTATTCGCAGAGCTATGAAGGAAAATCTTCCAAAGATACCCTGAGAAGAGTCGCTGCGAACGCATTGCTGTCGCTTCTGGCCATCAGCAGAAGAGCACAGAAGCTCGCGCTGAGAGGTGAGCCACGTGACACAGCTGCTGGCTTTATGGCACGTTTTCAATTTGTATGTTTTACTGCCTGTTCATTTTCATATTCTTTGGACTTGGAATGTAAAGAAGTTAAAATGTGAGTGTCACTAAAAAAAATACGTTTTTTTCCTCCTACAAAAGAAACATAGTAAGCATGCATTGCTTTTGAAATAAAAAGATTACACATGTAGGTTATTTTTTGTGTAATGATTCTTACTCTAGAGTATCTCTATCTAAACACCAGAGAAGCTTTAAAAAGTTGCATCTCACTCAGTTTCATAATAATTACATATTAACCACAAGCACATACTGTACACTTGAAGAAACCACATCGTTTTGATAGTAGTAACAACTGCATTCGATGATCTATGTTTTCATATAAATTCCCCTCTCAAGTGCCATGATTTCTCATCTGGAGTCAGAAATCACAGGTCTTGGAGTTAGAAGAGAACAGCAACACATCAGGTCTGCTAATGTCAACTGCAACTTGCTGCTGAAACAAATGACACGCCTCCAAACAGGAATTAGCTGTTGGGAGGGTCGAACTGAGTTGAACACAAGTGGACTTTAGCATTTTAGTTCTCTTACATTTTAATCCCCTGATTCATTCACCTCTCACTGAAAACGCTAAAGTGAAGTTGGTCAGAAACAGAAAATGGGTTTTTTTGAGAATTTTATTGATATATGTAGTTTTAACTTACTTAGAACTGGAACATCGCTCTGATCAGTTCAGGCCTTGCCTTTTTCAGCCAGCCTGGTGGACGGCTGCATAGAGCAGATGAAGCACATTCACGCGCAGCTGAACCTGGATTGTCTGAGGCCTGGGAAGGCCGCGCTCAAGAGAAAGGTGACTGCGAATCTAACATTCTGGCCGCACATAGAGACCATCTCTCCATTGTCCTTGTACTTATCAGTGACACTGATGGTCAGTTGAAATGAGTGCCTGTTTTAGAAGAAAGTTACAGTCAGGTAGATTAATGGAGTTTCTACCGAATGGAGTTCTTTGTGTGTGTGTCTCAGTTCTCACTTACAGATCTTCTAATGAGATTTATAAATTACATATTGTTACAAGCATCTCAGTGTGCCTGATACATTTTTTATACTACAAAAAGGAAATTTTTCTCTCACAATAAGCATAGGTGCCCTAGGAGGGAGCTGTAACTTGCCAAATGTTTTCCATATGTCAGGCACCGTTCTAAACGTCTTGTATTTAGCATCCCCTGGGGGCTGCAGGGCTGCTGTTCCTAATCGCTGTTTTCTTCCTTCCGTGGCTTCTGAACGTCTCTTTCTAGTATTGAGTCTGCTGGACTCATGTTCAAACTGCATATTCATTGTGAACTTGAAATCACAGGGTTTTTTTTTTAAAAATGTATTTTATATTGAGATAACGTTGGTTTGTAACATTTCATAAGTTTCGTGTGTACAGCATTATATTTCTACTTATACACCACGCTCACCACCAAAAATTTGGTTTCCATCTGCCCCACCCTTCACCCCTTCCCCTCTGTTTTCTGTATCTGTATGTTTTTGTTTGGTTCGATTTGTTCATTTATTTTGTTTCTTTGTCTTTTCTTTGCTTTTTATAGTCCACATGAGTGAAATCACGTAGCATTCATCTTTCTCTGTCTGGGTTATTTAACTTAGTGTAGTACCCTTAAAGTCCATCCATGTTGTTGGCAAATGTCAAGATTTCACCTTTTTTGTGACTGAGCAATACTCCACTGTATATGTACACATTTTTTTGATCCACTCATCAGTCAGTGGTTACTTAGGTTGTTTCCATATCTTGGCTATTGGAAATAACACAGTTTTGATATAATAGCAGTAGCTAATAATAACTGTGATTAAAAAGATGTGGCACACAGGCTCATCAAGAAAATGAATACATGTATGTTATTTATAAATATAAATCTATATACACAAATCTAAGACCATTATTGCAGCGATCTATGTAATAACTCGCTTCTGCTGCATTTAATAAGAAACCGAGAAAAAAGCCTCATTTGCTAATTTCATTGATCCAGGGGCTTGTCTGTCCGTTTCTTTTCCTGCCTCTTTCCCTTGCCCTCTCTAGGCAGAAGCCATTTACTTCATCATTGAGAAAGTCAGCCAACTCCTGATACAACTGAAAACCAGTCAGTTACCTGCTTCACTTTATTGAGATGGAACATGGAGCTTATTATGTATCTCCGTTCCTCCGTGCTTGATAGAACAGAGAGGGCTTTCTCGTGGTGGAGGCGCTTCTGGGGACCCAGCCATCCTTCCGAGATCATGAGCTTGTCGGTCCACAGAGTTACGGGGGTCAGGCTCAGCGGGAGCACGGTGCAGCGTAATGTGACCCCAGGGAGGAGGAGGGCCTGTATATCTAAAGTGGAATATGCTGGGGTGTGCACCTTTTTCAACTGCTTTTTTTTTAAACAGGATGATGGTTTTATTAAAGAGTTAAGCATTGCCATGCAGCTCCTGAGAAACTGCCTTTATCAAAATGAAGAATGTAAAGTAAGTAGAGCTTCTTCTCAAAAATGTTGATACCAGTGCTGGCATTAAACAGTTTGATTTTTATCTGAGAAAATTGGGAGGGGAAATGGAAAACTCTGAATGTTTTTAGATGCACAGTTGATTGGTCCGTAAGCACAGTGTGGATTCTCAGAAGTGGATGCATCTAGTCTTGTTCTTCAACCCTGATGACATTTCTTGTTCATGGCAGCATTTTAACTGTACCCCTGCAACTTGGTCTGCAGGCAGCGCAGGCACACTGGGGCCTCTCTTTCCAATGTTAGCCATTTCAGTTTTTTCACCAAGACGGAATGAATGGCTGTGTATGTCTGCTAAGGCAGGATTTTTTTCAAAGGCAGTTGTCAGACGACTGTCCAAGGGAATAAGTGGAAGTGTCTGTATCCATAAGGACGAAGATGGGTGTGTCTCCTGCTTCAGAGGAGTGTTGCATGTGGGCCTGTGGATGTCAGGGAGGCTGTTCACTGCCAGCTCTGCTGGCACCGTCTGCCCCTGGCCTCGGCCACTCTGTCGGGGAACCAGGGAGACGTTCTGCTCTGTCTGTGGGCATAGACGCTGTCATTTAACACAGTGCTTGGTGCTGTTACACAGGACACAGCGTCTTGAACTCTTTGATTTGCTTTGTCATAGGGGTATGGCACTTTTGAAGCACTAGCTTTTGCACAGAATACTATGAGAAATGAGGAAGATACATAAATTATGGAAGCTTTCTTTTTAAAAGAAATTTCTTACCTTTTTTGCTTTTGTGATGAAACTGGAAAAAGTGTACTGTATCTGGAAAATGAACATCTTGAACGCATATTCCTTAAACTGTATAAAGTAGTTTGTTCAAGACACATGACAAACAACTTTACATTTCAAAACAATTTGATTGGAATTAAGTATTGATATATTTCACTAAAAATTCCCAATGTATGAACTTTTTACTTCAAATAGAGGGTCCTTGACTAAATTTGTGATCCCGAGTGCTAAACAGCATTCTTGTGGCTGCAGCAGTCAGTGCTCGTCCACAGCGCCTCGCTCAGGGAGCGCTCGGGCCGACTTCCAGGTAGGGTCTGCCTGTGGATTTACGAGATGCTCACCTGTACTGGATGAAAACGCGATGTCCCCATTTGTAACACGTTAGCCAGCTATGAAAGTGTGCTCTCTCAATAAGCCAAAGCATTTCTGCGTTTCTAGGTTGCTTAGTAAGGAATACATTCAAAGAATAGGTGCTCCTGAGTATAAATATAGTCCTACAGGATTCTTAATTTCTTTCCCTGTTCCACCTTACCTGAGGTGTACAACACACTCTCATTGCTAATTGTTAGTCACTCCTGGTGATTGACCAAGTCACCCCCACCCCCCACCCGCACCCCGGTGTCTGTGTGTGACACTGAGGAGCTCTCACTCTGGGAAGATCCCAGGGGCAGTGAGTTAATGGATTGCACCGTGGGCAAGGTTAGAGGTGGGGGGACTGTGCCGGTCAGGCAAGAGGTGACGAGTCCTTAACCGGGGCAGGTGGAAACGGGAAGGAGGGTGGGGAGCAGCTTCGAGGTACTGAGGGGAAAGAAGAGATGATGTAGAGTGGCTTCCAGGCTCCAGTCTGATGCAGGCGTGCACAGCACAGCAGAGCAGAGCGCGGCCGTGACAGGTCCTAGTGGCGGGTCTGCCTGTCTCAGTGTCAGGGGTCTCTGGGATGTCAGGACGGGAAACGGCTGTAATCAGCAGATGATGTGGGTCTGGGGATCTTGGGAGTTATCATTGTGAAGATGGTGTTTGTAGCCATGACATTGTTGAAAGCCTAGGTCATACTTGGAGAACATAACCTTTCAAGAGAAGACAAACAACCGAGAAGGGCTCGCCAGGGCACGCTGGGAGACGACCAGGGAGAGAGGGGCTCGTGGAAATGAAGACGGCGAGCCTTTGACACGTGCCACAGTGCCAGAGGGTCTGGCAGCTACAAAGGCAGGAGCGGTTCCTCCAGCATCATCAAGGCAGGAGTGAGACTGAAGGAAGCTGAAGATTAAACAAGAGCTGGGAGATGACACGTGCTCTTTCTAGAAGCTTGGTCATGAAAAGCAGCAGTAATAATTGAGGACATGTAGCATTAAAGGACACTAGCCTGTATGTTTACTTCTTGTAATGTAAGGTGCCTAAATATAAACAGAAATGAGCAGATCGGGGACTAGTTACCACAGAGACAGGAAGGAAAGAACTAATTGATGGATGAAGATCCCAGCGGAGGCAGGCGGGGCTGTGTTCCAGAACAGATGGACGGGTCAGTCTCTGACAAGAGAGGAACACCTGTTCCTCACTGGGTAGATGGATGGAAACACAGAAGCTGTGTGGACAGGTTGGGGAGTAGAGAAGGACTCGCACCTCATCGTTCTGTCTTCTCTGTGCGGCAGGAGGAAGGAGGTCTGCGGCAGGCGCAGGGCCAGGTTCCCAGCTCGTGGAGAGTGGGGAGCAGGGGAGTAACCGTGGGAGGGACCTCAGTGTTTATGGAGAGTGTGGAACACTGGGAACAGCTTCCCACCCTCTTCTCCCATTGACACTGCATGGAACTGTGTAGGGTGTGTGTTTATATGAATGGCCACATGCGTGCACATGGGTCTACAATTTGCCTAGTAATTCTGTTCATTAAGAAAATTGCTGCATTTACGGCCAATAGTTACATCTTGTCCATAATAGCGTCCCAGTGGTAACTGGTCTCTGTAATGAAACTATGAATTACTTAAGATTACTGATTTAGCATAATATTTTGACTGAATTTTATTATATCCAAATTATTTAAAAACAGTAATCTACTTCTGATCTTGCTGTCTATCCACATGTACCAGATACACACACACACACACACACAAAGGGTGGGGTGGGGGGAGAACTCAGAGTTGATCAGAATGTTTACTTAACCAGAAAGTCTCATTTCTTAACCATGTCTGGCATTTACAAGGGTTTGTTTAGTATTGTAAGATATCACTGTCTTGTCTAATTTACATGTTCGGCAGCTGTGTTTCTGCATTTCTTACCTTAGCTGTGTGTCCTGGCCACCCCAGGGGAGGGGGGCTCCCCGAGACTGGCCGGGCTTGTGGTCAGGGCTGTCCTGGCTGCGTGGTGCTGACTCCGCCCGCAGGATTCCAATGCCAGCTCTCACTAACCAGAACAAAGATAAATTTGGTTTTTGTCTCCTTGTGTCGGTGACAGTTTTGGGGGATTTGATTTTAATTTTATTTCTCGATATTCAGACTAACGTGGCCCTCCTCTCCTGTCCGCAGGAAGCGGCTCTGGAGGCCCACCTGGTCCCGGTCCTGCACGCTCTCTGGCCTTGGCTCCTGATGGACGATTCACTGATGCAGATCGCCCTGCAGCTGCTTTGTGTCTACACTGCAAATTTTCCAAGCGGTAAATGGGACCCAAAGCTGCCTTTCTGTGATGTCCTGAAATAGTAATTTTATGAAAGGTTGTTAAAGTGGAAAAACAAAATATATACTTTGAAGCATGATACTTATGTGGGGGTATGTTGGTTAGATGCATGCTTTCCGGTAGATATTATAAGGACAGACAGACCTTTTAGGATATAGTTTGTTGAGATGAGAGGAGTCAGACAGCTCAGGGGACAGAGAGAGAAACTGGCCTGATTGCGTGGTAGTGAAACATTGAATTTAATACGAAAATTGAGACTGAAAATAATGACGGAAGACCTTGAAAACTAGGTAAAGGTTGAAACTTCTGTGGATTCTACAACAGGAGGCTGGCGTGTGATGAAAGGTAGTTCTGGATACAGGTGGTTTGGTGACATCATTTTCATGCCTCTTTCATTCATTCATTTGACACACATTTTACTGAGAGCTTCCCACGGGCCCTGCATCGTCAAAGCCCGACAACTGACAGTGAGCAGAGACAAGGGCAGAGTGACTTGGGCCGAGAGGAGAGGGCGTGGAACAGCTGAGTGGAGGGAGGGCAAGCCCGCTGGGGAGGTGAGGCAGTAGTAACTTTGTGTGGAAACTTCAGGTGTACAATTAAGGTTAGTCAGCAGGTCTGCATGCTTTCTTCTAGCGACGTTCAGCAGCTCTGCAGCTGGGGTCTCCGAATATGAAGAGACACGCAGTGGGAGGACTGGGACCGGATGGCCTGTTCCTCCAAGGTCTGACAGCGGCCTCCGCGCCCAGCTGTCGGTTTCGTGGCCCAGGCAGCCGGGCTGTGGCCGCACCTGCCGCGAGCAGACCCTCAGGCTCCTAGTCCTGAGCCTGCCGTGTGGTGTGTGGGGAGGGCGGTGGGGCAGGGCCGGCATCCTTGCCGTGCTCACCTTCCCGTCCTGTCCGCTGCTCGGCCGCCCGGCTCTCCGCCTCGTACAGCGGCCACGCACCTGGCTCTCAAATGTGGCCTCTGCTCCTTGTCCTCCCTCACCCCTCCTTCACTCCCTAGTGCAGGGGTGGGAGGTGAGGAGGAGAGGAATGTTCTGCAAAATACTGAGCGAAAGAAACACGTACTTCAGTATAAATCTTTTGAAAACCGATTGACACCACTGCTGGCACTTGTTGCTTATGAGCTGTGTGACCTTGACCAAGTTACTGACGTCTCTGAGCCCAGAAACATCATCTAGCATACACGGCTGGTAGCATTTGTCCTGTCCCTCCACCCCAGGATTATTGCTTTCCTCATTTGTTTTTCTTCTGTAAAAGGGAGCCATTAGCCCATGGTGTGTCTAACTGCTCTCCTGAGATCATTAGGCCCTCAGTCCATGAGATCGAATGCAGATACCATCACTTGCCTTCGGTGGTGCTGCAGTTCACAGGTTAATGGCCAGGGCGTCTGATAGACAGACATGCTTTATCACTCGGGTTGTTTAAACCATGAAGCTGAGAAAACGTTGTGATGGATTGTTGTTTTTGAAGGCTGCAGCTCTCTCTGTTGGTCCAGTTATGGACAACATCCTGCTCAAGCTGCACATCGAGGAGCCGCCGGCAGCTCCCTGATGCTGTGTATCCTGAAGCTGGCTTCCCAGGTGCCTCTGGAGAACGCTGCAGTCCAGCAGATGGTTTTCATGTTTCTTTCAAACCTGGCCTTGTCTCATGACTGTAAAGGGGTGATTCAAAAAGTGAGTACCTGAATTCTCCTTCCTGTCATAAAAAACAGACTCAGTAGAATAACCCTTCCAACTGAGGGCATGGGTGAAGAGTCCAGAACTCAGTTTCTAGGATTAATGTATTATGATCTCAAGGCCTTTTTATTTTAAAGGATTGGGAGGTTCACCTTGTTTAAAACCAGTTAATAGATGATACATGAAAAGTGACAGAAACTAGAATATGATCATACTGTTTCCTTTTAGTTTATCTTCTTAGCTTTTGGATTGTGTTTTCTCTTTCAAAAATGACAGAAAGACAGCTGTCTTACATTTATTTGTGATCATAAAACTAATATATTGGTCTTCAAGCAGACGAATTGAGCAGTAACGATTTCAGTTCAATTTACACTGTCAAGTGGGTTATGCAATCACAGCCCCCTTTCCCCCAGTCAGCCCTGACTTCTTGATGACATAGGTGATTTTTTCAGTCTTCTGGGACCCCCATGCCAGAACTGGACTTTTTATCGTTGGTCTTAACTGAGGGCACTTTAGAAAGGATTGAATAATTTAGACAAAATCTAGTACGCACGTTCGGTTAGACTATGTATAAACAGAATCCCTCATTTGTAACAGCCCTTAAAATACGAGTATGATCAGATCATCTGTTACTAGCACATAGTGATTTGAGTGCTGCTGTTCCATTTACATGAAGGCCAAGATAAATTACAAAAGTTGAAACCATTCATAAGAATTGAGTCTCCTTTTTCTCTACTATGTCATCTCTCCAACCCCACTCTCCCCAAAAATCCCCACCCTTTGAGTCCAGTTTCTAAATAAGCAGCAGTCATTAAAGAAAGGTCCTTTTCAGTGGTATGCTGGAGGGAACTCATGTTGGCTCCTGAGTGTTGTTGCTAATTTTCAGGAATTTTGCCAGCCAGCTGACATGATGGGGGCGTCCTGAAATCAGCCTTGGTGAGGGTATTCACACGGTGCAGAATGGCAGAAGGTGCAAACAGGGACCCACTGCTCTCACCTCAGCAGTTTATTCAGCAGCACGTGGCTGGGTATTTGCTCCGTGTGTTGGGGGGTGTGTATAAAGTCATTCTGAACTGGATGTTTGTGGGTACCGTCTTTCCACACATGTGGGAGCACAGACTGCTTTCTGCCGCTCTCTTACAGAGAGCACCTTGGTAAGAAGCAAAATAGGAACTCCCAAATGGAATATGAGCGCTAACCTTGGATCTGATGTGTGACTGAGCTGGACGCTTATTCTCTTTAACACTGAGTTACACCTCCCATAACTCATCTCAAGTTATTCGAGAATGTAGCTAATGCCGTTATACAGCTAAGATTCTAAAATATTTGTTTTCTCTCTACCATAGCATGTTTCTTTGCATCCTCCCTGGTGTAGGAAATTGTCTGAAAGCATCTTTAGGCCCAGCAAAAAGCATGAAAGCCCATAGCATATTTACAGTTTAAAGCACTGCCATGTATTTGTTACTGTTGTCAGCCCCAGATCTCCAAGACCGTGGCAGAATGTAGCTGAATGGGGAAGGAACGTGATGACTCTAGAAAGCATTAATTTGGGCTGAGAGGGGAGGCAGGAGTGAGTGGTGGCGACGGCAGCGGGATGCAGTTTACAGTTTACTTGTCACTTGGGTGGTGCTGCTAATATTCTGTAGCTCATTTCATTCTTACACTCAGAGTCCTTAAAAGTAAAAGTGTTTAATGTGTTTTGTAGATTCAAGCCAAAGTCTTGATTTAGGTGTAAGGGAACCCAAGAAATAAGCCAGAGTAGATTGTTAGACAAGGAGAAAGATGAGATAGATGTTCTGGACAGTTGTGAAAGCCAGGTGATCATATTTCTGCGCCCTGGTCCAAATGCCCATCTAACTGTGGTCCCCATACTGTCCTGGGCGGCTTCTTGATACAGTACTGTATGCTTTTTTTCCTTTTTTGCATGTAGCTTATTCTAGACGATAGGTTATTGTCTTTCATGTAGTGAGGGGTTTGGTGTGGTTTTTCTGAGTGGGTTTTATTTGGAGGCTGTAATGACTCTTACAGTTTAAGTAATGGCAGTTGCTCATCTGTGAGTTTACTGGAATGACACTTAGCAGTGACAAATCATCCGTAATGACAAATAGCTGGGGTAAAGTGAGCATCATATGTACCCATAGATTTCTTTTTAAACACTTACAGCTATGAAGATTCAGATATCCTCGGCACGACCGACATCGTTAACCGGTGTCCAAGACTGATCTGGGTTTTGTTTCTTTCTCCCCCATCAGGATAGCTTTTAATGAGTAGCAAAATTGCCAGAAGGGAAACAGAAAGAGGAAACTCAAGAAGCCTGAAGTAATTCCCAAACGGAGTTATCAATCCTAAATAATCAAGAGTTGACTATAGTTACTTTGTCCATCATCAGGAAAGAATTAGTAAGAATTAAAACTTGAGCACTATTTTGTGCTTCTTAACTTTTTCACATATACCCGGAAACAGTGTGGATGGAGTATTTAGAAGGCGTTGGGAGGAAGGAGGAATTAAAGTTGGGAACAAGAGGAGCAGAGTGTGAGTTAATTGGTCTCAAAGGGACTAGGAAAATAATGGAAGACTCAAGAAGAAAATAACGTTCTCTCTGTTTGTCCACAGAATAACTTCTTACAGAACTTTCTCTCTCTCACATTGCCAAAGGGAGGAAGTAAACATCTCAGCAATCTGACCGTTCTCTGGTTGAAGTTACTCCTGAATATGTCATTTGGAGAAGATGGGCAGCAAATGATCCTGAGGCTGGACGGCTGTTTGGACTTACTGACGGAGATGAGCAGATACAAGCATAAGAGCAGCCCTTACGTGCCTCTTCTGATTTTTCATAACATTTGCTTCAGTCCTGCGAATAAGCCCAAGATCCTGGCTAATGGTCAGTATTCACACTGTACACCACACGGACATGTGCATCCATTTATATGTGTGGGTCCATTTAGATGAAAACACAAATAGTTTTACAGGTAATTTTCCAGGTGTTTCTTGAGCACTCACCACATGCGAGGCCCTGTGGGAGGCAGAGGCTGTAGGAAGGAATCGGGCGTGACCCACCCCCTGGGGAACTGCCGAGGGTCTCTAAGCATTAACAGGTCACCTCACTGAGGGACACGCTGGACCCAGGAGGTAGCGCAGAGGGGGCCCCCTCACTCCCTGTCTCTCCCTGCTGGCCCCAGAGTCCTGCATCTCGAAGTAAACTCCTTGTCAGTGGAGCCTTTCCAGACCAACCCATCCAAGTTGTGACCCCCACGCCCTTCATCCTGCCTCCGCCCACGCTGTCTCCCTTCTTGGATGCACTGTGTGTGCTCGGTGTGTACCTGTGTGCTGCTGGTCTGCCCACACGAGCACACAGGCTCTTACAGGGCAGGAGGTTTGTCTCTCCTGTTCATGTTTATCCGCAGCAGCTAGGACCGCGCCCGTCCCTAGTGAGCACCCAGCGATGCTGGTGGCTGAGAGGCCCTGAGCAGGCAGGAGAGTTCAGACCCAAGACCGCAGGGCACTTCGTGCTCTGAGACACAGGACAGATGGAGGCGAGGACTGGTGAGGATTCAGAAGATTCTGAAATAGAAAGAGAGGAACAGAAAGATCTGTTTCTGCAGCCACGTGCTGCTTCTGTGAGGAGTGTGTGAATTTTATAGGGAGAGAGTTTTATAAGGAGACATTGTGTTACCATGAAAAAAAAAGATGTGGGCTCTAATCCCCCACGTGCTTGGTGCTGGCTTCCAAGGCCGTGTGCTCACTCCAGCATCACCCGGGGCAGCTCCTCTGGTCCAGTTTCTTCATCTTTAAAATAGTCCCTCCTTTTCTTGATTTTGGTAGAAGTCAGTTTATGAACTTAAAGGGCCCAGCACTGTTTAGGTCCATGGTAGATGCTCCAGATATGTTACTTCTCTTTTTCTTTCACTTTTTTTTACTTAATCTTTTCTTAGAGATGTTTTTCTATGAAGCAGAGCTTTCCAGGTGAATGGAGAGGACCCCATATACATTCTTTTGTGTGCAGTCGTGTTTCTGTTTTTCTGGTAACAGTGATTGAATTGCTGGGAATGCAGGGAAGGGTTTTAGGAAGTGTAAATAGGATCATTTAAACAGCATTTTTGTTTTAATTATGGAATCTTTCATCCAACTAGTGTTTATTGAGCCCCTACAATAAACTTGCACTGTGGTTGGAACATTCACCCGTGAACAGGAACACAGGCTCTGCCCTCAACTGGGTTACGGTTTAATTCGGTGCGTTCACCAGGCGTGAGGGGTGGTCACTGCTTACAGAGACGGTTCCCGGTAACAAGTGTTGCACCCTTAAAATCACACATTTTAGAGGGAAATTTGATAGAATTTGGTGATGCGTACAGTTAAGTAATAAAATAGGTTCACGTACTGTTCTGAAACCCCCAGCCTCCCGGACAGCCTCCCTGGGGCTAGCCTTCTCTGCTTCTTTAAAACGAGCCGGCTGCTGCAGGTGATCTGCAAGTCTTGATTTCATACTCTGGCTGGCTTTGCAAAACTGGGGGCATATCTTGTGTCTTGTTCTGCCTTTTTCTTCACACACACATACACATTCCTTTAAAATGTTTAGTCCTTTCTTAAAAGGCTTACCTAATACAATATTTCTTGATTATTGTTTTATAGTATAACCCATGCTACCGATATGTTTGTACACGAGTCTTCATAATTTATCATAAGAGCAAATCCGATTTTCCTGCACGTGAAAATGTGCGCTATAATTGAACGGCTCATTAATATAACTCATTGTGTAATTGCTTGTTTCTGCACTATTGTTGTCTTTAAATGAATGTGCCTTTGTTGAATTAGGGCCCAAAAAATTAAGCAGCCATGGCTTCCCTGAGGGTTCTATGCCTGTTGTGAAAATGATTTGTTTCAAGGTTGTCCTCCCACGCACCACATGGTATTAAAGATTGTTTTTGCCAACCTTATGTGTGTGTTCTGATGGGTATCTAACTAGTCCAAGATACGAATACAGTGCAATGTCTGGGACTGAACTTTATTTTTTTAATGTGTTTATTATTAGAAAAAATCATTAGTGTGCTAGCTGCCTGTCTGGAAAGTGAAAATCAAAATGCTCAGAGGATTGGAGCAGCTGCGCTTTGGGCTCTGATTCACAATTACCAAAAGGTCAGTTTCTAAAATTGTTGTCATCCCTGGGGGCAAACACCAAGCTTCTCGGGACGTCAGAGGAGTATCGGCAAGGAAGGACCCAAGTCACAGACCCATGTTGCCTTTGTGCCTTCGTACAACTAGTAAACCATCAGTTGAAATCTTTCATTTAATCATTTCAGTAGGACATGTCTCAGTTCAGAAGAGTGTCTCTCTTTTGAGTGAATTTTCCCTGCTTAATATAACTTGATTTGCCACATTAGTGCAATGTTAGCATAGGTTGTTGCTTCTAAAAGATATGTCAAGGAAACACGCAGTTTGAAACCAAACTGAAGTTTTATCCAGTTGTGGGGCCCCCTTTTTCTCGTCCGTGCCACCGCTGAGATTTGAAGTCAGCTCAGTTCTAGGTCAGCTGCCCCACCGGGTTGGCCTGGGATGCCGGCCGGCAGGGAGACGTGCACCTACTCTTTCTCTGGCCCCTGGTCTTCTCCCTCATTGCAGACATCTCACTGTGGGGAGAATGCCTGTGTGCACCCGGTGATTAGACAGCGGCCAAGTGACAGTTCTAGGAGAGAAGGCCACCCCTGAGTAGTGCTCACCCAGCTGACTGTGCCCGGTCTGTGCTGTGCTCTGCCACCGCCCCTGGCTTGGAGATCAACGCTGTGTGCTGGCCGGAGGGCGCCTCAGTGACAGTCAGGGAGGGGACTACTGAGGACTAGTTTTGCTCTCCCACTGCCCTTGTTTCTGGCACCAGGGGCCCCCAGCTTGCACTGCTAGTAGTGTGTTGTTAACATGTTGATCTGTCAGTTCAGGTATGTCGTACACGGTATTTGTGGCCTTGGCTGACACAAAGCTGTTCTGTGAAGTTAGCTTATTAACAAATTTGACTTAGTGATCAAACTGCAGTACTTTGTGCATTCTGAATTTTAACAGTTTTTTCTATTATGCATTGTATCAAGTTTGTCACTGTGTGAGTGGAAATTAAACTTTATGTAGTTTTTGTATGTTGTCCTATTTCTTCAAATAAATCTCCCCTATAAATCAAGGAAAAAAAAAAAAAAGCTCCTGTTGCGTCTTCTCCTGTATCCCCAGGGCTTAGCACAGGATTTGGCATTTTGGAGTCACTCAGTAAATACTTGTTGGACAACTGACAGACTGACAATATTGGATATCTTTGGTCTGAAATCTGAGATTGGAGGAAGTAATGAAATACTGAAACTGAGATTGCAAAATTTAAAATAGCAAATAGAGATTAGGGGAGAAGGGGTGAAGGGGAGGGAAGAAAGAACACGGGACAGCAGAGGAAGAATCAAGTTGGATGGGAAGGTGCAGGCAATGGTGGGGGTCGTAGAGTCTCATTCTGTGGCGACACTGTTCTGTCGTATAGTGTCCTGCTCGATGCCGTGGTCAACGGGCAGGATACAGCAGTACTGCGCTATCCTGATGCTTAAACGCGTGGGAAGAAATCTAATTAGTGGATTGTTCTGTATTATCTCTAGGCAAAAACAACTTTGAAAAATCCATCAATAAAAAGAAGAGTGGATGAAGCATATTCCATAGCAAAGAAAAGTAAGTTTTATGATTAAATAGATTATAGTTAAACTTGGAAGCTGTTCACCGAATTCTCTGATGACTGAAGTATCTGGACAGTTCACAGCAAGATGGCAGCGTCCTACACTGACGTTTTCACACTGACGTTTGAGGAGCCTTTTTGCCGAAGCGTTGTAAAACGTGCCACCGTGTGGTCCATGTTTTCACTGTAACATTTTTTAAATAATAAAACGTTCTAATAGATGCAGGTTGGAGATACCGTAGTTTCTTAAAACATGTCAGTGATCTTTCTCCGAGTCATTTTTCTCTTATACTAGGTTTCCTTTGCCAGTGGCTACCACTGTGCTAAAGTGTGATCTGAGGTGGTAAGAACTGGGCCCAATTAGAACTGACCTTAAACGAGAAACTTTGATCTAACATCGGGGATTTGAAATACACAGTCCTCCAAGAGTAGATCCCATTGACCCTGCGTCCACTCGGCCCTGTGATGTGGCCAAGATATGAGGCAGGGTTCTCTTCTCAGAGTGCATTTTTCATTTTAAGTGAGACCAGTTTTCAGTGAGCATTATTCTCTGAACATGTTTTATATTAACACACTGAACTGTGTCTTTCCTGTACTGTTCCTTACCTGTTGGTTTTTAATTTGTTTTTTCAGTCTGATTTTTCGTAAGTGGTTTGGTTGTGGGGCTTGGGGGTTTTATTTTGGGTTTGTTTCTAGCTGTGACCATGAGTTTCTGGAGGTAGTGAATAACAGTTTACGTGTTGGGAGCGGGGTGCATAGAAGAGTGAGACGCTCCCGTGGGATTGTAGGCAGTAGTGTCCGTTGTGGCGGTGTGTTGCTTTTTGTTTATACTCTGGCTAAAACATTAGTGAAAAATAAATTCTATAACTTCTTAATTTTTTAATTTGTAATGTTTTAAATATTCGATTTGTAAATATTCTTATAATACTAGTACATCAAGAATTTAAAAGAACTTCGAGTTATGTAAGTCCCATTCATGTGTGCTTGTGTATGTGTGTCTACTCTTTAGTGCAGGACTGAGTTTAGTAAAATTGCTCTTCTGTACCCTTATTTTTCTATCTCAGCTTTCTCAGACTCAGAAGAAACTCCTCTAAACACCTATTATTTGAAATGTCTTGAAAACCTCGTGCAGCAACTCAACTCTTCATGAGCGCCCTGCAATCCTCCGCCCTGAAGCCGCGGCCACCGGACAGGTGAGCCACCCTTGGAGCGCGCCCTGTGCAGACCTGTTCCCCGAAGACGTGCTCATAAGCCTGTGCGACAGAGGGCACAGAAGGTCCTGGGAACACGAACATTCTTACCTTTTTCTATGCAATGTGCTTTGTAAAAATCATATTTATCAGTTATTTAATAAAATAAGATATTTCTAGTGACTGAAAATTGGCCAATAATTGCTGCTTGCAGGCTTTTATCAATCTCATGAATATAAATTTTAGGAATAGAAGAAAGATACTATGTTCTGATTTCCTTTTTTAAAAAAGTATTTTACATGAAATTTGGCTCTTGTCAATACAAATCCTTGTTTTTCAAAGCATTCACATCAGTGAAGGGATATTTGTAGTAAATGTGCATAATTTTGTGAGTAACTTCTTTGGGCAATTTTTAGTGATATTAACTCCTTTCCATATGATACATAAACATGTTATATTTTATTATTTTCACCTTTCAACTTCTGAAATGCTGTGTAATAAAAAAGGAAGAAATAGAGTTTATGGTCACATAGGCCTACGTTCAAATTCTGCCTCAGCTCAGAGCATCGTGAAGAACAAGAACGTGAAAAATCTGGCAGGAACAGTGCTGCCGAGGCCTCCTGATGTGACTCTCAACTAACATGTAGCTCTGAGCTCGGAACTTAGAATCAGCTCGAGTACTAATCATTTCCAGCAGTTTTCCCAACACTTGAAAATAAGGAGAGAAAATTATGTCTAAGAAAAGAAAAACAAAAGCTGAAATGTATACACATATGCGTGTCTATATACACACCTGTATACACACCCCCCCCACGCACATACACACTCATTATTTAGGAAGAAGCTTTCCAATTGAATTACAGTTAACGAGAAAAAAACTTCCTTTATTAAATGCTGTTAGCAAATTGCCATCATTAATAAAATAAGCCATGGGACATTATTTAAGCTAAAAGCATGAGGACAAAATATATGTTAAGTATTGAAATAGAACCAGGTAAATTTACAGTGTCCGAGAGTTATGATTAGAGATCTGAAAAATAGATCTAGAAAGTTTGGAAGTTTCTGGGCAGCCCAAGTTAATCTGAAGCAGTGGACGTGGCAGTATTCTGAAAAAGTACAAGCAGGAATCTTGGGAATTATTTCTCCCTTTTCTCCTGGTTGCTTAGATCCTATTTCATTTTCCTGGTATCACCTTGTAAGCCCTCACTGATGAATAATTAGATGATTTCTGTAACTTCCATTGAAAGATCCCTTTCTGTGTCACAGGCGCTAGTCTCAAGATGTTTATTGTTTGATCTGTTTTCCCCTAAAATACTACCATTATTCCTGCGTTAGAGGTGAGTGAACGAAGCAGCTCGGTGATCGGTTGTGACTGGTAAAGAGTGAAGTTGAGACTGGAGCCCAGAGTAATGGCTGAGGTTTTTTTTAACCACCGTGCTATGCTGCCCTCCCTCCCTGCCTGTTTTTTCCTCATTGAAATTCCTGTCTTTGTGTTTGGATCTTATAGATAACCTCCATTATTCTACAAGAATTGAGTCTTTTCACGGAAATGACCACTACCCATATTTTGGTTCATTCATTGATTCACATTTCAGGGTTTGCTTTGCCTCATGTCTTTGGAATCAGAAGGAATAGTAACTGATTGTCTTCCCTAGCAGTTCAAGGTAGTACCACTGCGGGGTTTGCACCCTGGCAGCCAGAATCGCTCAGGGATGACGCCTGTGGAAGCCCAGAAGGACTGGCTCCCTGAAAGGGGGAGGAGGGCCATGGCGTCAGGAGAACATGCACTTGCATCTGCCGGTGTCCAGGGACGTGCCCCGCAGGGGCATGTGGTGTTCCGGGTCCTTGACGCCTCTCCTTCTTATCTGTGTCTCTTCGAATTGTGTCCAGGAAGCCAGTGGGGAAGCTGCTAAGCAGAAGATCCCTGAGGTGACTGGCCTGCCGTGGCACTGCCTGGGGGACCCAGCAGCACCAGAGTCCCAGGGATGCTAGTTGAAATGCACATGGAAACATGGTCTTCAGCCTGTGTCTGAAATTGTTAGCAGACTTGCCAGGTGATCTGTACGCTCACAAAATGAGAACCACTGATTAATCCCCCAACTTTACAGAAAACTGCCTGGAACATGAAAATGACTTGACATCACTCAGTTATTTAATGATGATGAAATCAGAAATGGAATCTGGGTCTCTTGAGTGCTAGTCAAGTGTTCTTTCTTTCACACATCCCTGGTTTAGGCAGAGATCCAGAAAGCAGGTGTAGGGAACTGGTTCATGCCTCATGGTCTCCAGGTTTCCCATTTCCTGGCCTTTTTGGTTGCTTGGTGTGTGTGTGTGTCTGTGCTGGGGATGAACTCAAAGGCTACGCAGTGCGTGAACATGCAGACATTCATCCTCTGGCGTCTGTGTTTAGGACCCCGAGCAGCTTGGGGGAGGAGGCAGCGCTGGTTTTGAAAACAGAAGAGACAAGTGGAGTAGTTAGCTGGCCTCACTGGAACCTGTCCCCACTCTTCCTAAAATCACTTTCAAAAATGAAGAGCTGGATGTACTTTTCTTTGGTGTTCTGTAAATAATGGAGTGAAAAATAGAATTTGCCCATTTAACTGCAGGTCACCAGTTTTCCTTCGTAGTGTTAAATATGCTCATCATCTGCAGTAATTTTCCATCGTGACTCTTGATGGTTGCACCTTATCTGCCCCCTGTTTCCCGAGATCTGCTGCTTGACCCGTGGTGGTTCTCAGGTTTGGCAGATTGTTGCATAAGAATGATTAGCATTCCCGCCCCTGCTGCCCCAGGTGTTCCTACAGGCCTGCCAGGGAGCCAGAGAGCACAGGAGAGCGGCTAAAGGTGGGGGGCTCAGGGCTCGTGTGGCCTCACCATGCACACCGGTGGGGACCTGACGCAGCCTCCAGGCCGCTTCTCCCGGTGAAACCGGGGATCGGGAAACCTGCTTTGTGAAGCTGGGCACAGTACCTGGTACATAGTTGACTGTCCCTTAGATGTCATCACTGATTAGTTATTCCTAAAAAGTTCTCAAAAATTTCTCTCTCTTTCATTTAAACATTAACTCTTCTGTGTCTCTGAAACTCTCTTCTCCCTTTAGGAAGCAGGGAATGTGCTAGAAGGTGAGTTTCATTGTCTGAACAAGGCTCTCACATTCCAGAAGGCTGGCCGGTTTCTGGTGGCGGTGTGGGGCCGCAGGCCTGCACTCGCTAACGGCACAGACGCCGACGCGTTTGGGGGAACCTGAGTCTTGCAGAGCACTGTGTGCAGGGGCGCTGAACACACCCGGTGACTTGGTGCGTTTTATTCTTTGGCTTGTCAGGTTGTCTTGACTGAACGTCGTTGGTGAAATATTGCTCTTTCTCCATTAGAATTGTGAAAATGGAAAATACAAGAAATTACAACCTTAGTGGCCAAAAGAAAACCTTAGCTTAAAGACTGTCAGTTAGGGAGCATTTTTCTCTTAAGCCCTATTGTTGACCTGTGCGATCCAAGGAGTTCCGGGAAAGGATGGTGGTGAAAGGTCATTATTTCTGTGAACTAGGCAGCTTAGTTTTGGGGAACTTAAGAGTTTATTCTTCTTGAGTCAAAAGTTATTCAACACAGGAAATCCCTTGTAAAACTCAAGTAACAAGTCAGCGGGGCCCAAGGCAGAGTATGCTGGGCCGAGGCTCGGGACGCACGGCAGACTGCCAGGACCTGGGCTTCCGGGGTTTGGCGGCGAGACACGAGCAGCTCAGCGTGGTCCTGTTTTAAATGTTCCCAGCGACGTTCGTCTTCGTGTTTTCTTTGCTCCTTCTGCATTTGGGAAATGAGTTTCAAAAAAACCTACTCTTTTAAAGCGATGTTTCATGAAAGATCCATATGGTAACATTCAATAAATTTCCCATGAAAGCCAAGAGAAATGTATGTGTTTTAATGCAGACTCCAAGGGGAAGATGCTTTCCTGCAATTCTCCTTCCTCGGTGTGTCTCCCCCTGTGCCTTACCTCTGCCCCCAGCTGAGCCTTCGGACCCCGGGTCCCATTTGGTTTGTTCATCTGGGCAGCTACACTTGGTGTTCTGGTGGCAGATTGCCTGCCATTCTGGGCAAATTCTGAAAACATGACTTCCTCAGATACTCTAACAGAACATTCTCCCATTGGCTTACCCTGGGAAGAGACAGATTTTTAAATGGAAAACTATTTTTAATCGTTTTCTGATGATCGTGAAGATTGGATTGTGAAGAATCAGTTCATGGGTGTGATCCCTGGTTGAAAGTTACCTTTTATGTAACATGTTAGAAAGAGCCATGATTGCACAGTAGAAAGTCCAGAGTAATAGTGGCTTCAGTAAGAGCAGAGCTCCATTTTCTTTCTTCTGTTTTTGTGTGTGTGTTCTTTTCACATCCAGGAAGCCCCTTGCGGAGGCGGTCATTGCCTGACAGTGTCCTCAGGGAGTCAAGTGCCCCTCCTTCATTGATGCATTCTCCCTTCAGCAAGTTACCATGTGGACGTCTAGAAGGAACAGCACTCCCCTAGCTGTCTGTTGCCCTTTAAGGAGCCTTCCCTAAAGAGCACTCAAACAACGTGCCCTTACGTGCTTGGACAGAGCACAGTCACCTGGTCACTCGTGGCTGCAAGGGAGGCGAAGAACTGTAGTCCTTCAGCTGGGCTCACTGCCACATTGAGTCACAGGCCTCTGCTGGTCAGGAAGGGACGAGGGGGTTCGATGAGGCAGCCACCAGTCTCTGCCCCACCGACCAACATCGTAGTTGATTTAACATGATGTAGTTGGAGGTAAGTGTTATATTCCCAAGTTAAAAGTAAGAAAGAGATTAGGTGCTTATTGAGTGTATTCAGTCTGCATTTAGACTTTGTGATTAGTTGTAGTTGCATTTAGAACTGGAAATAGCTAATAAAGTAAGATGACTTCCCAGTGTGAGTTTATCCCCGTGACGTAAAAGCCTCCGCTGTCAGAACCCACCCGCTTATCTTAGAGAAATGTGGCTGTGAGGACAGAGTGGTTGGCATTCTCAGTGATAAAAACTAAAATTGGTTGATTCATTTAAAATTAATTGAAAAATTAAAAAAAAATGTACCTTTAACCTTTATTTCAAATATGTACATATGTTACACTAAGAGCTTTTAAGATTTCCTGCAACTTTGAACTTCCTCTTGTTTGCTTTTGTGGTTAATCCTTGCCTGGCTCCCTATTATTAGAAACAAAGATGGCTGGAGGTTAGAGGACGTGGGTCCTTGTCGGACCTTATTCTCAGCTCACCTTTCCCCTTCTTTGCATTCTCTGGCTTGCTTCTCCGTGCCTTTCTTCACCTGTCTCTTTGATCTAATTCTTAAACTTTCTCCACCAGTGTGTCTCCACCCACCTTCACGTTTCCATTCCTGCCTGTCTTGAAAGGCCAAGGTCAAATGTCACCTCGCCCATGAAGTTGTGTCAGATTCCCCAGCTGGCAGGGAAGTCTTTACTCTTTGAGTTTCCACACCAATTTCAGTAGTTTTTAAAAAAACGTTTTGATCTAACTTAGCCCTTTTCCCCTTGTATTATGCTCATTTGCATACAGTCATTGTTCCCACATCTGCTTAAGAACATGACTTCTGACTGAACTTGTAATTCCCTGCCTCTCACAATGCCTCACAAAGTGGGTGTTCAGTTTTTATTTATTTGCTTGAATGAATGGATGGATGGATGGAAAGAATGATAGTGAAAAGCATCATATAAAAACACTTAAAAACCTTCAGAATTTTTTTTAATTCAGTAGAGAAAGAATAAAACCCCAGTATTTTAGGTATGATTTAAAAATATGACCAGCACAAACATGAAACAAAGATTCTAGTCCAAACTTTCAAGACCCATTGCTTATAGGAGTCTTATTTATGATACTCTTTCTGAGAGGTAGGATGTAGGTATCAGCTTTTTGCAAATAGAAACTTAAATTCTGAAAATTACATAAGCAGCAACTCCCGCAGTGTGGAAAAAACAGAAGCCCGTTTGCATCATCCATGCTGTGTAAAAAGCACAAATGAACAGATAACCTGTCAGCTTCCTTCCAGTTCCAGGCCCTTAGTGCCCACATTTGGCAGCAGCAGGCACTGTGAGAACCTGACTTCGACTGAAATAAATGTGACACTGCTTTGCACAGAGAGAGAGGAGGGGCCAGTGGTCATGGCCGAGAGGAAGCTTTTAATAGTTAGACTTAATAAGAATTGGGGAAAATGCTTATTCCACTGGTACCGTTGCAGTAGGGAGTGAAGTCTGTGATTGTGTCACTTTAAATCTTTCACATGTTATTTCCTGTCCATAGCTGATAATGCACAGTTCCATCTGCAAGGTGAGGATAATCCTGCAGCTTCTGCACAGTGGTTTTGAATTTTGACTCAAATGGGGCAGCCTTAAGTGTACAGAATCAGAGTCAAAACTGGTGGATCCAATGTGTATGGCATTTGTTCTGTATGATTTAAAGATGTGAAGTTGTTAAGGAGACGGGGCTGGTGTTAACCAAGATGCTGAACTGTCAGGGCTGCTGGCCCCTCCCCGCAGATCCACTCCCAGGATGGAAAGAGAGAATGGTGAGGAAACCGTGGTGCCACGGGGGAGCCACTGGAAATCCTGTGTGTAGTGGGCGGCTCTATCTTCGGTCGCGGGCAGGAGACAGCCCAGCAGGGACAGCAGGGGATCCGCTCTTGTTCCACCAGCCGTGGCCCTGAGAGAGGCAGTGCTGCCCCAGGCCGCCCAGGTCTCTGGTCCCGGAGCGCCCGTGAGCAAACTCGGGGCAGCAGAAAGTCCAGACCCCTGTGCTGGGGAGGAGCTGAGAAAGCAGGTGGAGCTTCCTGACCTCCATCCGGCCCCCAGCCCAAGGCGCTGCGGTCGCAGAAGTGTCTCTTCCTGATGCTGCTTCTCCCCAGCCAGGGGTGGTGTTTGGAGGGGGAGGGACTGACTGCGGTGGACGCGCGCCCTGGACTCTCCGCTCTCCACCCCTTGAGCTGCCTGGGCCTCCTACAGACGAGGGGATGGCCTTTCACTGTGAGTGTTTGCCTGATGTTCCCAGGGGAAGTGAGCTCACCGGCAGAATAACAAGACCTTTGAGGAATACAACCACTTCAAAAGGAGAATAGCATGCTGGAAGTACATTTTCCAAAAGAAGCAGAAATATTAAAACAGATGAACCAAGGATTTTAAATTAGCCAAATCAATACATTGAAAGAGAGAAGAAATTTAAAATATAAGACCCAAATGATAAAACATAAAAAAGGCACAAGAAAATATGTATGATAAATATGAAAGCTGAAAGACTGCAACAGGTCAGACAAATAGTAGAATGGATCCAGCTGCGTTACGAATTAATGAGTCAGAAAACAAGATTGAGGGAGTGTGAGAATGAAAACAGCAGTAAGTAGGAAATAGAAAATTAAATTATTAAAAACTAGGAGATGTGGAGGATAGAAGAAGTGCTCATATCTGGATGGCAGGATTCTCAGAAATGGGAAAGAATAAAAATGAAAATAGATACTTGAAGAAATATGGAAATAAATTTCCTAATATTAAAAAGAGATGATAAAGTTTATACTTAAAGAGGTCATAGAAAGCCAAAGAAGAGAGGGAAGGAAGAAAATATATATACATGCCTTGCTGAAATTTAAGAATATCAAAGGCAAAAAAAAATTCCAATCGAAATGATAAAATAACCCCAGACTGGAAACAATCCAGATACCCATCAAGAAGAGAATAGTTTAAAAATATCGTGGTGTATATTTATGAAACATTGCTCAGCAATAAAAAATAATAAAATACTGGTAAACACAACATCAAGACTAAATATCAAAAACATCAAATTGTGCAGAAGAAGCCTGACACAAAGAGAGAACATACTGGAAGATTCCACTTACATGAAGTTAAATACAGGCAGGAGTCACCTCTGGTGACAGGAGTTCATCATGATGGGAGTCTTTTGCGGTGTGTTAGCGGGAAGGAGCACAAAACAATCATCTGGCTTCTGTACCACGACCTACAACGTTTTATTTCTTGATCCAGGTTGTGGTAACATGGGTGGATGCCTGTGTGAAAAGTCTTTAAAGTGTACCTGTTACTGTATGTATGTTATACTCCAATGAGACACATGAAAGAAAAAAAAATAAAGATAATATCAACATATGGAGAAGAACAAAGCAAAGAAAAGAATGCTGTGTTGTTCCTGAGAGGAGAATGCAGATGTATTTTTTTTTAAGTAAGGTTGGAAAACAAATTGGGTTCAAATTGAAAGAATAATTTAAGATGACAGAACTACACATAAATATATCAAAAAAGAGTAAATGGACTAAAGTCAAGTGAAAGATAAACTTGAAAGATTACATTTTAAAAATCTATGTGCTATTTACGAAGTTAAAAGGATGAAAAAGCAAAATGTAATAAAAATAAAACATATTAATGTGGAATAAAATTGACCTTAAGATAAAAAATTTAAATGGAGATGAAAAAGGTCACTATAGTGGTAAAAAATTCAACTTATCAAGATGTGGCAGTTTTAACATACAGGCATCTAACAAATAACCTCAAAATATATGACCCCAACAGTGGCAGAACCACAAGGATGACATGATAAATCTGACATGGCAGGAGTAGCTTTCCACAGATGTCCTTGGTTTTTGATGGGTCAAGCAGGCAATAACTCAGAAAAGATATAGGAACTCTGGATAACACAATTGATAACCTAGAGCTAATGGATATATACATAACGCTGCAACCAAGAATTAGAGAAGACATATGTTTTCCTCAATCCAGATGAAGCATTTATAATTGATTCAAGTATCAGGCAATAAGTCCTCAGTAAATTTCAAAGAATAGGTCCATGTAGACCAGGAACTCTTGCTAATATGTAATTGAGTTAAAATTTAGTAATACAAGGA